TAATTTAAAATTAAATTGTATCAAACTTTTTAAGGGAGAAACTGTTTCTGTGCTTATTTTTTTATTTACAAAATTTAAATTCAAAATTTTATTTTAAAAAAATTAAATAAAAGATGCTGTTGATTCTAGGTGACGACAAAACAATTATATTAAATTTTAATTAATTTAAAATTAAATCGTATCAAACCTTAAAAGGAGGAGCTGTTTTTGTGTTTATTTTTTTATTTACAAGATTTAAATTTAAAATTTTATTTTAAAAAAATTAAATAAAAGATGCTGTTGATTCTAGGTGACGACAAAACAATTATATTTTTTAATTAAAAGATGACACAAGTAGAATTGTAGATAAGGAAGACATACTTTTGGACTGTATCTTTTCTCATTTTTAGCAAGCATACTCCTCTCACAATGCTTTTAATTATAATTTGCTTGCTCGTCTCATTTGACCCTTTGTCTCAGATCAAATGCATGCGGATTTATGTGAAGATATTTTAGATGATGAAATAAAGCTGTTATCTTTCAGCTTGGCTCTCATAAAGTTCCTAGAGCCAATGGTTTTCCTGGCTGCTTTTATCAACAGCATTGGGACATGATTACAAAAGATGTTTGCAAAGCTATAAGGCATTTTTTTTTAGCATGGTTATATGCTGAGGAAAACGAACAGAACTCAAATTCTATGGGTTCCCAAGGTCAAAAACCCAGAAATGATAACTCAGTTCTGCCCCATTTCTTTATGTAATTTTTCCTACAAGATTATTTCTAAGTTTCTAGCTAATCGGTTAAAGGGCTATCTTGATAGTTTTATCTTTCCTTCTCTCCTTTTCACTTTGCTTTCATCCTTGGAAGATCTATACAAGATAATATTTTAATTACTCATGAAGCTTTCCATGGTCTAAAGCTGAAGAAAACAGGCGTGAAAGGTTTTTTGGCTCTTAAGCCAGATATATAAAAAGCATATGATTGCGTAGATTGAGGCTGTCTAGAGCATGTGTTGCGTGCTCATGGTTTTTGTGAAAAATGGATCCATTGGGTGATGCAATGTGTAACTACTATATCCTATACAGTACTTATAAATGGGATGCCAATTCCTCCTTTCATCCCTCAACGAAGACTTTGTTAAGGGGATCATCTTTCTACTTATCTTTATATCTTTATTGTTGACATTTTGTCTCGTTTACTAATGATAGCAGTGGCTAACAAGAAGTTATTCGGATACAGAATACGGAACAAAAGCCTGACTATAAGCCACCTTCTGTTTGTTGATGATTCTCTTGTTTTTTGCAAAGCTAAGATGGAGGAGGTGAGTCATTTACAGTATATTTTGCAACAATATAGGGATATTACAAGGCAAAGAATTAATTTTGCTAAATATGTTGTCACGTTTAGTATTAATACTCCTGAAGATTTACGTACATCAATTTGTGGCCAGCTTGGTATTAATTCTTATTCGACTATTATTAAATACGTTGTATTGCCAACCTCCTAGGGGAAATCTAGAAGAGCTAGTTTGAAATATGTTGTTGAAAGGATACACAAAAAGTTGAAGCAGTGGAAGGTGGCATTGTTAGCTTAAGCTGGTCGAGAAATCCTCATTAAAGCAGTTGCTATGGCTATCCCATCTTATACTATGTCTTGCTTTTTATTTCCAATAAACATTTGTAAAGATATCAATAGATTAATTCGTGACTTTTGGTGGGGGCAACTGCAAGAGGAGAGGAAAATATGTTGGGTTAGTTGGAAAATGATGACTAAAAGTAAGCTATTTGGAGGGATGGGTTTCAAGGATTTATTTCGTTTTAACTTAGCTATGTTGGCTCGATAGGCTTGGAGGCTAGTGCAGAATCCTAATCCTTATGGGTGCGGGTACTCAAAAGCCTATATTTCAAGGAAGAATCCTTCTTTTTTGCTAGGAAAGGAAGTCACCCATCTTGGGCATGGACAAGTATTTTAAAGGGAAGAGAAATTCTTCAACTCGGAACTCGGTGGAATGTGGGTGATGGAAGGCAGATTCTGATCTATGAAGATGCATGGGTTCCAACTCTACCACAATTCAAGGTACTTTCTGCCCCTAATGCTGAATCTTTGTATACTCATGTTTGTGATTTACTAGATGAAAGAGGGAATTGGGATGGTCATAAATTAAGTAACTGCTTCACAAATGAGTGTAAGGAAATTGTGAAAATTCCAACAACGGCTTGTATTGATGCTTTTATTTGGCACTATAATAAATATGGACAGTTCATTGTCAAAAGTGCTAACTTTCTTGCCTATAAATATGTCCATGGATCTAATTTTTTGGAAGATCACTTTTTTCTTTCCATTGCATAATGGAAGCACCTTTGGAAACTTAAATTACACCCCTAAGGTTAAGGTTTTCTTATGGAGAGCTATCCTTAACAGGTTACCTACTCTTGATAAGTTATTTGCTAAAGGGTTTGTGAACAATCCTCTCTGTCAAAACTGCCAGCTTCATAATGAGTCTTTGTTGCACGTGTTATTTTCTTGCCCTCATGTCCAACCAGTATGGTTTGGTTCAACCTTGGGTTTTATTCCAAGGCAACTGAGGTTGCAAAACTTTGTAGAGTGGTGGAGATTTTTAACTGATATTGAAAAACAAATGGGTATTCCTAATATGATAGAACAATGGGCAATCATTTGTTGGAATGTATGGAAGGCAAGGAATAAGAAGTTTTTTGAGCATGCTGCCTTTAATCCTGAACAAGTTCTGTTTAAAGCTAATGCAACGTTTAAGGATTATTGCTCATGTCCTGGTAGAGACTTGCTAGTGCCTCCAAAGCAGATAATGATGAGAAAACAGGTTACCTTTGTTTGGGCTCGTCCTCCACCAGGCTTTCTAAAGATTAATGTTGATGCCTCCTTCATGCCTAACTCCGGGATGGCGGCATTAGCCATGGTGAGTAGAGATTCTTACGGGAAGCTTCTTGTTGGAAGAACATGGATATGCTCTGCCATGTCTCCTCATATGGCTGAAGTTAACGCATTACTGAAGGCTGTACAGTCAGTAGTGGACATGGGGCTGGATCGAGTGATCTTCGAATCGGATAATGAGACATTGATTTCAGACGCACAGCAAGATAGCCAGCCTCTTCCTTGGGAGATCAACTCTATCATACATAACATCAGAAGCTTTTGTACTTCTAGGCCAAATTTCTCCTTTTCTTTTGTCTCTCGTGAAGGAAATGGAGTGGCAAATTGGGTTGCACGATCTGCTCTCAAGGGACAGTTCCCATATTATTGGGCTCATTGCCCCCATGATATCTTGCTGCAGTTGCTGCTTAAAGATACTGTATCTTAAACTCTTAGCTGTAACCTTACTCTTCATGACATGCCAAAGTTTCCTGTTTCGTCAAAAACATGAGAGCAAATCTTGATACCAGTTATGCGCTTTCTTTTATCCACATTGAATTGTTGACTTAAATTAAAATAAAATTAAAATTTAGATTAGTGCACTTATTTTTTACAGTATCTTTTATGAGTGCTTTAAATAGTTAAAAATTTTTAAATTTTTTTACATTAACTTGTTGACTTAGAAAAAAAGAAAAAAAGAGAGAGAGAGAAAAAAAGTTGACTTAGAAAAAAAGAAAAAAAGAGAGAGAGAGAGAGAAAAAGAGAGAGGAGAGATTAGCTCCTATTTAAACTTGGGCTTGGTTTGGTGGTATTGTATTGTGTTGACTTAGAATAGGTGTAAATTGTATTGTATATTTATTCTTTTCTGTCTTTTAGCCTTTACGCAATCCTAAACCCAGTTTCGCGTTGGCCCGCTACTGAATCCAATGGGATTGGACCTCGCTACCCAACATCCCTACAGAAAATGGGTTGGATGACGTTAATTCCAAATACCTAGATTACTTGGAGCCCAAATCTTATAAACCTCATAAGGGATTAAAATATCGATTTATCCCAACAATTTATTCTAAATTATACTAGAAGTAACATAGCTACGATTAGGGGTGGGCATTCAGTTGGGTATCCGAACGGTTACCTAGAAATCGAATAAAAAAAATGAATTTGGTTTGCTTTTAATGGTTTTCGAGTGTTATTATTTTGGTTTTGATATTAACCAAATAAATTTTGGTTTAGTTTTGATTTAAGTTTTTACAAACCGAAAACCAAAAAGAGTCACTTAAAAACCAAAATTTAGTTAAATATGATAAAATATAATAAAATATTACATGAAATATAATCTATTATTGAAAAAAAAAATAATTGATGTTTATTTGATTAAAATCGAAACCAAACCGATTTTATTGGTAATTGAATTGATTAGTTTTTGAAAATTTTGATTCGATTTTGATTCTCAAAATTAAAAAAAAAAAGTTAATTCCAAATTGGTTTCGATTTTAACAAAAACTAATTTTTACTCACCCCTAACTACGATATCATCTCATTAAATAATGAGTAATGATAAAAAAAAAAGATGAAAATTTAAGATAA